TCAGGTTGGTCTCTAACCTGTGAGCTCAGGGCAATCTACTGGCCTTGGACACCAGTGGTAGTGGTAGGATTACAAGTGTGAGCCACTGCACCTGGCCAATGAGTGGATATTTTCTTTTTTTTTTTTTTTTTTGAGACAGAGCCTCAAGCTGTCCCCCTGGCTAGAGTGTCGTGGCATCACAGCTCAGAACAACCTCCAACTCTTAGGCTCAAGCGAATCTCCTGCCTCTGCTTCCCAAGTAGCTGGGACCACAGGCATCCACCACAACGCCCAGCTACTTTTTTTTGGTTGCAGCCATCATTGTTGTTTGGCGGGCCCAGGCTGGATTTGAACCCACCAACTTAGGTGTATGTGGCTGGCGCCTTAGCCACTTGAGCCACAGGCACCAAGCCAAGGCAATGTTGTTCAACCTTCGTTTGAGCCACAGGTGCCGAGCCTGAGTGGATATTTTCTTAAGAATTATAAATTATTATTATTATTTTGTTGTTGAGACAGAGTCTCGCTATGTCGCCCTTGGTTGAGTGCTGTGGCTTTACAGCTCACAGCAACCTCAAACTCTTGGGCTTAAGCCTCCCAAGTAGCTGGGACTACAGGCACCTGCCACAACATCCAGCTGTTTTTTGTTGCAGTTGTCATTGTGGTTTAGCTGGGCCTGCGCCAGGTTTGAACCTGCCACCCTCAGTGTATGTAGCTGGCACCATAACCATTGTTCTATGGGCAGAGCTGAATTATAAATTATTTTTTAAAACCCCACAAAAGTATTAAGAAACCTAAATACAAAGATCTTTGGTGGGCCACCACACCCGGCCTTTATTGTACTTTTTCTTAAGGATGTTTTATTTCTCCATTTGAAAACTATTCTGTGAGGAGAAGCCGTGCCTTTAAAACACGTTCAGTGGAGCTGTTGGAACAACTTTCCACCTTTGCTTTCCCTGTCATCATCGCTTCCTTTTTCTATATTAATTTTAATTAAAATCATAACTGTGTACACTTGTGGGATACAATGTGATTTTTTTTGAGACAGACCCTCAAGCTGTCCCCCTGGGTAGAGTGCTGTGGCATCACAGCTCACGGCAACCTCCAACTCCTGGGCTCAAGCGAGTCTCCTGCCTCAGCCTCCCAAGTAGCTGGGATTGCAGGTGCCCACCACAACACTTGGCTATTTTTTGGTTGCAGCCATCATTATTGTTTGGCCGGCCCAGGCTGGATTTGAACCTGCCACCTTAGGTGTATGTGGCTGGTGCCATAGCCACTGAGCCACAGGTGCCAAGCCTACAGTGTGATTTGATATACAATCTAGAATGCTTGGGCAGCACCTGTGGCTCAGTGAGTAGGGTGCCGACCCCATATATACAGGGTGGCAGGTTCAAACCCTGTCCCTGACCGAACTGCAACAAAAAAATAGCTGGGCGTTGTGGCAGGCACCTGTAGTCCCAGCTACTTGGGAGGCTGAGGCAAGAGAATCGCCTAAGCCCAGGAGTTGGAGGTTGCTGTGAGTTGTGTGATGTCACAGCACTCTACCCAGGGCGATAAAGTGAGACTGTCTCTACAAAAAAAAAAAAGAAAAAGAGTGCTTAAATCAAACCGATTAACATTGCCATCACCTCACTTATTTTTTGTGGTAAGACATAATTTAGTTATTTTGAAATATACCCTTGCATTGTGTACATTAGGTGAGATCTCATCAAATGCCCTCCCTGTCCTCCCCTCCCCCTTGCTAAACTATATTTGTGTTTTAAGTGTTTATATATTGGTTTCATAATAGTACTTGAGCATTTTGGTTACTTTTTCTCCATTCCTGAGATACTTTACTGTGTTCCAACTCCATCTAGGCAAACAGAAAACATATAAAGGCTCCATCTTTTTTTTGGCTGAATAGTATTCCATGGTATAAACATACCACAGTCATGGATCGATGGGCATTTGGGTTGCTGCCATGACTTGGTAATTATTTATTACACGTCTTTAACGGATACCTACTACAGTGTCCGTGGGAAAGAACAGAAATGAGGCAGCTGAGGAGGAGATAAAGAGCTTGACTTTTTTAAAGGGTGAGGTTTACTTTTTTTTTTGAGAAAGGCTCATACAACACCCAGCTAGTTTTTCCACTTTTAGTAGAGAGGAGGTGCTCAGGCCGGTCTGGAACTCCTGAGCTCAGGCCACCCACCCACCTCAGCCTCCCAGAGGGCTAGGGTTCCAGGTGTGAGCCACTGTGCCCTGTCGAGGTTCACTTTTTGAATTGCCCACTTTGTATTTAAATTGTTAAAGGACATATTTATTTTTATTAAAAATGACCTTCAAAGTTTTACAATCTATCAAGACAGACAGACTTTGTGGATTAGGGTTTACTAGCTTCTTCACTTCTGGTTTATTCCAAGCAGTGCCACCAGCTTCATTTTTTTAACCATTTTCTCCATATCTGGCTTCTTTGTGCGATTTTATTTGGACAAGAGTTGCACATACACCCTAGAACACACCATCAATCCCTCTGAGTACTGACAATCTGTGGAAAAGTCTATAGATTATTCATCCCTGCGTGACTACTGGGCGCGAAGGTTTCAGTCTTGGTTGGGCTTCATTCCTATTCTACTCAGATTAAAGTCCTGCATGTCCGGGAAGACAAACGTTTCAATATTAATAATAAACAAGAACATGTACTGTGCAAAATATATGCATGAAAAGGTAAGTAACAAAAAAACTAACCATTACTTGGATTTGGAAATCTGCTTTCACCCTACCTGCCAATTTTGAGTCAAGTGGACAGAACTGTTTATCACTAATGCTGGCCGGATTCTGAATGCAGTGACATGTTTAGAACATATATGCTAATGATATATATAGAAAAATTCTAAAAACCAGGAATACTTGGATTTTGATGCTGCAAATGCAGAGTAACCTCACCCCTGACGACCAGCTCAGTTGCAGAGCACTTGTGCATAAACTGCAGGCTCAAGAGACTAAAGCAAGCATACTCTAAGTAAGTTGTTTCTAATAGTTTCCTTTGCTGGTCTAATATTCCAGTACTTCTTGGAAAGTCACTCACATGTATTTCAATTTCCTTAGCCCTATCCCAGCCTGAGTTGTGTTTGGCTAATGTTTTAACATGCTCACATTATTAAAAGATAAAGGCCTCAAACCCAACCCTCAATGGTCAGAGTTGTATGTCACTGTCTTTTTTTCTACTTGTAAAAATGACCAAACAAGCTTTCTAGATGAGTAATTAAGCAACACATACTCTTCTTCCTTTCACTGCCATTTTAATAGAAAAAGAATATCAATATTACAAAATATATTTCACATAGATTTGGCAATGGAAAATTTCAAAACACTATCTTTATAAAAGGATGTCAAAAAGCACATTCCAGATGAAGCAAAGACATGCCAGCTGGATAGTTCTAGAAGAAAGTCTAAATAAATAAATTTTTATTCTGGGAGAGGAAAAGATACCTCCAAAGGACATAAAACCAGAAGCAACAACAACAAAGGACTAATAAATCTGCATACAGATTAAAACTGACACCCGGCAAAGCCAAACACATCCTGGTAAGTCTAGAGGCGAACAGCAAACCGGAGAAACAGACAACATTACTTAGTAAAACCTACCAGAGAGAAAGGCTCTTCAGTTTACAGAAATCATACATATCAGTAGGAAAAAGGTAATTCAGAAGGAAAAACTGAAAAAAGGAGAAAACTATTAAAAAGGAGAAAATATAGCTGGAGACACGGCTGCCTGAGATGCGTTTCAGGTCCTGGGGAGTCCGTGGGGCTGGCAGCTGAGCCTGCTCACCTTTAAAGTTTCCCAGCACCGAGAAAGGGTCACCCTGCAAATCCAATGAAGATTAACGACCCTCCACTCTACTTGGTTCCCGAGGGTCAATCCACATGTGAGGAGCAGCCACGGACCCAACTTTAAGGAAGCATCTCACAGCTGTGACCCAGATACAAGGTGGTGTCAGGAAACACAGTCCCAGACTAAGCCCAAGAGGCAAAGTTTGGTACAATGGAGGTTAGACAGCTACAAGTATCTCTAACATCCCTCCTGGGTTTTTCCCAAGACTTGGTGTTATTGGTTTTGCTGGCCTTGTTGGACTCCTTTGGCTAGAGGTTCAAAAGTAAAGAAGCTGGTGTATCCGCCTGGTTTGATACAATTAGCTGCCTCTATCTATTACCCACAAGCCATCACATTCGTCCAGGTCAGTGGGGAGAAATTATATGACTGGGGTTCCTGAGGATACATAGTTGTAGAAGATTTGTGGAAGGGGAACTTTCAAAAGCCAGGAAATGTAAAGAATTCACCTGGAAATAAGTAGAAAATTACATTCTCTGCCCATTTTAATCAGATATACGTAAATATTGGAAACTCCGTACAGTAAATCAACATTTCCACAGACAAATGCCATAGAAGTCAGTATTTGAATGTACTAAACTGGCATTCTTCACCAGGAAACATTAGACTAGGCCTCTGTTATCTTGGGTGATATCATCCTACAAGCAAACTAATTTGAAATCCTGTCATCTAGAGACAATGTATAAGCCTTAGGATTCTTCATTCTCATGTACATAATTGCTATTTATGTACATAATTAAAATCTAAGTTTATAAAAAAAGAAAATATACCAAATATCACTCATAATTAAGGAAATGTGTATTGACAACAAGGTACCATTTCCTCGTCCAGGACATAGCAATAGTCACAATGCAGAGAAGGCCCCTGCTGGGGAGGTATCACTAATCTCTGAGGGTCCAACTTTACTGAGATTATATGACCAATCTATAAAAACTAAAATGTTCATCCTGGCTAGGCACAGTGGCTCACGCCTATAATCCTAGCACTCTGAGAGGCCAAGGCGGGTGGATCACTTGATCTCATGAGTTTGAGACCAAACTGAGCAAGAGTGAGACCCCATCTCTACTAAAAATGAAAAACTGAGGCCAGAGGATCGCTTGAGTCTAAGAGTTTGAGGTTGCTGTCACCTATAACAGCATGGCACTCTACCATGGGTGACAAAATGAGATACTATCTCAAAACAAATAGAAGTTCAAACTCTAGCAATCTGACAGCTAGAAACTTACACTATGGGTAGACTTGTTCAACAACATCTACTTATGGACAGTAAAAAATTATAAACAGTCTAAGTGTCCATCAACAGGGAACTGGGTCATTATGGCATATCTAGAAAATGAAATGCAAGACGGCTGTTTAAAAAAGCGAGGTAGACCTACACGTATGCACTGACACCGAGAGGGCTTTAATACATAGCAGTAAAAAAAGTATAGACAGCACTTTTGTAAAATGACTCAAAGTTAACAAAAAGAAATGTATCTAGTAGTGCATGAGTGAGAATAAAAAAGTGCATGAGGGTAGACTGCAGTTCTTCTCTCCAGAAAATTATAAAACACTGTTACCTGTGATTACCTTTAGATAAATGAATAAAGGGTAGGGCAGTGGGTAGGAGACTTTTACTTTTCATTCTGTACTGTTTCTAGCCTTAAATGTATGACATTATTAAAAAAATACTGTAATTGTTTTTATATATACATATACACACGAAGATAGTAAACCAAAATATACAAAATTAAAAATGCAGATATACATAAACACGCACACACTGGGATCAAGCCTACCCTTTCCATATCAGACAGTGCCTGTCCTACTGTACAACATACAGGGCATAGTTAGTAACTACCCAAAGACCTCAAAGCCCTTCATTATTGTTCATTCCACTCCTGTGGGTTCCAGTTGAGATGGTGATACGAGAAGATGGGCACAAGTATGGGCGAGTCAGGAGGACATTCCCAGTGCCTTATCTGAACAATGTTCTGACCACCGCACGCCCCGTTTGTCCTTGTACTGCCCAGTCAGGTTTCAGAGGCTGGTCTTCGAATCAGGTCACCAAAATATGCAGTGATTGTTTTCAATTTGTTGTTAAGAAAGTTCTGTTCTATTTCCACTTGTCCTCCAGGCCCAGCTAAAGATGCCACCTAAAAAGATGGGACAGAAGAAAAAGTCACCCATACATAAGGATGATTTCAAAACCATGCTTTCATTCAACCATGTTATCAAATAATAGGGTTTTGGCTTTTTACTAAATCCTTTGAAGAAAGGGGCATCTCCAATATTTGCTGTTACTTCCCGGGTAGGTATCAAGACAGTATTTGGGGGCAAGAATACTTGCTATTTCAAACTCTTCGGATATCATGGGTGAGACTATGGGGCCATGCTGTTGTATAGGACCTGTCATTCCAATGCCAGAAGCCACAGAAAGAACTCAGGAAGAGAAAATGAGCCAATCTTCCCCAAATGCCAGGTTTATTTTAGTGACGCCTCTGTCCTTTCTGCTTCACTGTCTGCATCTCACCCTCCTGCTCAGTCAGCCTTACCTGTGGAGTCCCCACTGTGTGGCACTAGGACACCTCATCTCTGAGCAGACAGCTCCAATCCAGGCTGTGACCCTCATTCTCCTGAGGAGTCTGTCCTACCAACAACTTTCTCTATTTGGTCTTTTCTGCTGTTCTCCTAACTTGGGGCACCTCTCTCCATTATTGTGTATTTAAATCCTTTTTACAAAAATCGTGGTGAAATACATTGCTCTTTTTGAGGTCTACTATAACAGGCTACAGTAACTAACTAACCCCTTCATTAGGAAACTAAAAGCACCACCTCCGCTCACCACCGCACTTAACACCAAAGGGACGCCAGTCAGATGCATGGCAATGGGCAGTCAGTGGCTCAAGGATTTTGCTCATGACAGTGACTACACTCACCTCTGTCGTACTTCAAATAACCATGTTTTACCCTAATGTCTTACACAGGTAAGGTTTTGTTTTAGTTAAACATTGCCTCCCATCCGATCTCTCAGAAATCCATTACCTAGCAAATATATTACCTTCTAACACACAATCACTTCACCAGAACTCAGTTGATCAGGGTAAGAGTAAGAAAGATTAAGAGAAAGGGGAATGGTGTGGGGACTCCAGAAGACGATGAGTGACAGAGAAAGGGATACCCAGAGTATCGGGTACAAATAACAGGAGACATGTATTTTCTGTAACTGTGACCAGCAAAATTGCAGTTGTGTACTTTATAAAGGGAATTGCCCAGTCTGGTTTGGTTTCAACAGCTGAGACAATCTCATCTCAGTGGTGTTCTACACCAGCACCCGGTGTTACCTAGTGGAAGGGAAGATTTACTGTGCCTTACCAGTGAGTATGTACTTTAAAGTATTTCAACTTCCTTTTAGAAAAAAAGTCAGATACGGAAATGGAGAAGGAACAACAGGTCACTCTATGGCATATTCTTAAAAAAATAAAAATGAAAAGAGTGTTTTACCAAGACAGTAAGAGCATCATTAACCCTTGCCCAGAGTACTAAGGAGACATAAAGACGTGAGTGTGTTTTTATCAACAGTAATAGATAAAACACACACATCCTACCATTTATTCATTAGGATTACTTAAAGTGAAACTAGAAAAAGTTTTTTGTTTTTTGAGATAGTCTCACTCTGTCACCCTTATGTCATGGCATCATCATAGCTCAAGGCAACCTTACAATTCCCGGGCTCAAGTAATCTTCCCAAGTAACTGGGAATATGGGCATGTGCCATCAGGCCTGGCTAGTTTTGTCTGCTTTCTTTTTTTTTTTTTTAGAGACAGTGGCTTACTTTGTTGCCCTCAGTAGACTGCCGTGTTTCACAGCTCACAGCAACCCCAAACACTTGGGCTTAAGTGATTCTCTGGCCTTAGCCTCCCAAGTACTTGTGACTACAGGCACGGCCACAACACCCAGCTATTTTTAGAGACAGGGTCTCACTCTAGCTCAGGCTGGTCTTGAACTAGTGAGTTCTGGCAATCCACCCACCTAGGCCTCCCAGAGTGCTAGAGTCTGCTCTTTTTTTTCTTATAAGGAAAGGCACAATGGGGAAATTGGTCTTTAGCCAATACAAGGATTTTTTTTTTTTTTTTGAGATAGAGTCCTACTTTGTTGCCCTCTGTAGAGTGCTGTGAAGTCATAGCTTACAGCAACCTCAACTCTTGGGCTCAAGAGATTCTCTTGCCTCAGCCTCCTGAGTAGCTAGGACTATAGGCGCCCACTACAACCACCAGCTAGTTTTTCTATTTTTAGCAGAGACAAGGTCTCGCTCTTACTTAGGCTGGTCTCAAACTCCTGAACTCAAGCAATCCACCTGCTGGCCTCTCAGCATGCTGGGATTACAGGTATAAGCCACTGTGTCTAGCCATCAACAAAAGGAAATTTGAGCAGCGTATCTAAAATATCACTTTTCCACAATTATTTTCCTGAGCTAAGATATACCTGAGGAAAGGCATTTCTCTTGGTCTTTTTAACAAGCAATTTAATTGAAGAACATAATATTAGCAAGCTGAAGTTTTTTTTTTTGAGAAGTGGGTTTGTGAAGTAGAGCGGAGAAAAGAACAGAGGCAAACACAGGCTGGGTGAAAAGAACCAAAGCAGAGCTGAAGTATCAAAGCATGTGCTCGGATATGGCTAGTAGGAAAAAAAGCAAAGTCGGAGGCAAATTTTAATCTTATTTCTACCAATAATTTGTTGTCTCAATTTAGAAAGTCACTGAAATAGGCTTTGGCTTACTGATCTGTGAAGTTGGAATACTCTCTCAGATCCTAAAAAGGATATTTTGAGAAAAAGGAAAAACAATTTCTGAAATTTACTTAAAAAAATTAAAAGTACTATAAAAACAGATGAGCCATAAATAGAATTACATAAAAACTAATTTCTAAGAAGGTAGGGTAGTTTCTTTTCCTTATTTCTACCTTTTAGAGAGTTGTCCAGATGTGGCTGCTTTGAGTAAGAAAAAGGAGCAAAGATGTGAATTCTCTGTGAAAGAGTTCACAAATTACATAAAAACTCTTTACTGAAAGCGTATAGGCTTCTGTTCTAGGCAGTGGAGAGTAGCAAAAACCAACAAAAATGTCTCCGTCTTCATGAAATGTATATGCTAAGATAGGAGAGGCAGATGGTGGACAAAACCAGTGTGAGTTCTTTTTTTTTTTAATTTTTTTGAGACGGAGCCTCAAGCTGTCCCCCTGGGTAGCGTGCCGTGGCATCACAGCTCACAGCAACCTCCAACTCCTGGGCTCAAGCGAGTCTCCTGCCTCCGCCTCC